CTATAAATAAACAGAAACAACTAAGAAATACAATCAGACACTTTAAAAAAACTAGGTTTTGAAGCAGATTACAATATTATATAACTTTGATAAGATATTTCTGTTGGACAGCTTTTGGTCTAAAGTGAATATAACATTGTCTATGGTTTGATCGCACGTTGTGCAGTGCTGACTGGTTCAGAGAATTTTTTTTTTAATAGTCCGTTAAATCATTTTTTAGGTTACAGAATATTACTCCTCCAGTACTTATTACTTAATATTACGCCATTTCAGCTTTCACGGCCTCGATTCCTCTTTTTTTTTTTTTTAATTAAGAAGACGAGTTAATCTTGAACGATTACATCAGAAGCTAAGAGCCTAACATCTAAGACCTATCTGAATCAGCATGCAAATAATCAATACAAAAATCAGGAGGTTCCCAAATAAACTCCAGATTGTGGTTCGCGTCATGAGCCATTTTGGCCATCTTGCCAGCATAAATTTAGCGCTTCCCTGCATGCATGGTTGATTTCTATGTCCCAGTCCAGGAAAACCAGCTGTCTCACTTCTTCCAGCACCGGATATAATTGATGATGAGTTTCACCCACCCGTCGAATCAGTTGTAAGGCTTATAGTGAATCAGAGTTTAGCTTGATCTTCTTAAGACCCATATTCATACTAGCATGTGGCCCGCCTTAATTAATAGCGTGAAGCTCTGCTGCCATTGATGAGTTGCAGTCCAGTTTCTGTTGAAAGTCTACTATCCAGTTACCTTGATGGTCTCGGATGAGTCCACCGCAAGCTATATATATGACCTTGCATATTTCTTGAACCATCTGCATCCACTCTGAGATAGTTCTCTTGAGGTGTTTGCCATCTGGTCTCCGATCGCTCGAGGATTTGAAAGATCTTGTGCTTATATTTCACACGATCTACAGCTTTCATGAGAGCATACAGACCCTTGTGTACCAGATTCTGTGGTTGTGCATTCGTACATTCAAAGATTCGTTGACACTTGTTTTTCCATATCATCCAGCACAAATGTCCAAAAACTTTAGTCTAATTTAGATATCATCAAAACTACTTTTTAAAAGTATTTTTTTATAAATCGAGACACTTATCCATATATTTATTTTATATATTATAAAAATATTTTTGAAATCATTGATTCCTATCTAAACACCCCAAGTCTATTTGCTCAATTTCTTGTTTGCAAGTTTATGTCTTGATTCCTATTTGCCTTGTGGCGATAGCGCGATTGTGGTCTAGGAATGGTGATTAATGAAAGATCGAAAAGCATCCAGTGTGGCGAAAACAAAGGGAGTTTGGCAACCTGTGCAAACTAGAATTTGTTTTTCATACATCAACCAAATCATAATTTTAAAAATAATTTTACAATATACAGGAAAATTGTCTTAATTTGTATAAAAATATTTTTTTAAAAAATATTTTTAGATTAAACCAAACACCTTTCATATACTATAAAATTGTTTTTAAAAAACTAATCCAAATACCCTTAAAGTGTTTAATTTCACATCTGATTTCTCATTTTATTTACTTATTTGTTATTTTTATATTGATAGAGGCGGTTTGGATTGGCAGGAAAAAATTATTTATTCAGTTGGGCTTTTGAAACCTAAAATTAGATAAAATTTAAATTAAAAAATTTAATTTTATGTTTGAATTGATTTTTATGAACAAACAAGTTCATTAAAAAAAACAGTTGTTGGGATTGTTAGTGAATAAAAAGTTTAGTTGGAAAATGACTAAAAAGGACATAAATTTTATTAAATAATAGTATATAGATTTTTAATATGAGAACTAATTGTAGATTTAATTTGATCCCAAATATAATATCTCAATTGATTTTGTTTCTCATATTTAGTTTAATACACATTATTAACATGAATATCTTAAGAAAAACGATACTTATTCATTATAAATAATTGATTTATTAATTTTTTAATATCCATAATTATTAGTTATTTCTCGTCAAGCCACAAGCACGATTGCACAAACTATAAGCAAGTTTTCAAATACTTTTACAATTGTACTTTGAAAAATAGCTTCGGCTCACAAGCAGTGTAAACAGGAGCTGATCCGACCACCCCAAAATTGCCAAACATGCTAATGGCCTATAAAAGTAGGCCATCTGCCTTCAAAACGTAATCCCAAATGGATCCAGGATAATCATGCATAATGAATTGTATCTGCATTTGTCAGTTTTGAATTAATTTCAGAATTATATGGGCCCTTAAGATTCTGTTTTATTAAGCACATGTATCAATTGTTTGATTGTTTGACTCGATTAAAATAAAAAAGAAAAGAGAGAGAGATTTTAATGAAAGGAAGGTGAGGGAAGGAAAGAGGAGGGCAATTAGGAACATAGAGAAGGGAAAAGGAGGGGAGGGATTTTAATGATTCCTTTTTTGGATTGATTAGAAAGGAGAGAATGGGAGGAATTTTAATAACACTTTATTTTATTTTGATAAGAAATTGAATATTTTAACCAATAAAAAACGCATGTCTAAGACGAAAGGAGATTGGGGCTGGACTGAATAGTGTGTTGCAATTAAGACATAAATATATTTAAAATTTAAATAGATTTTCTAATCTTTTTATTTTATTGAGATATAAATATATATAATGCAATTTACTAATTTTGACTTAAAAAATGCCGTCACATATATATAGAATATTAAGAAAAGAAGCTATGAGTGATATGTTTTAACTAAAGAAGAGGCGTTAATTGTGAAAGAAAATATGGCATAAGACAATAAAATTAGAAGAAAAGGTCCAACAATGTTCACAAACTTTCGAGACAACTATTTCGACGACCTCTTGGTAGATATTTAAGAAAAATCCCTTGCATGGAAAATATTTACGGCTGATTAGGGGTTAACAAATCGAAAGGATGTATGAGAAATTAAAATATTTTAGTTAGGTTATAAGGAAAAAAGAGAAGAGAAGAACATTTCCCTTCTTTAAAAAGATACATACCACTAAAAAAAAAAAGGATTCTTATATCTCCGGGATTTACCACTCTATTCTAGAAAACGTATTTCACGTCCGAAGATCACGGGGTCAGACGGTTAGTGGCCAACAGATTTCCATCGCCAAGTGGTTTGGGTTCCACTTTTTGGGCCAATTGGTTTGGGTTCAATTTACACCCCAGGCTTTGCAGTTTCCACCGGTCCTCAAATCCAATCAAAATTTAAAAAAAAAAAAAGCGTTTTGCGATAGAGGCGGCCGAAGAAAACGCGTTTTAAGATAGACGCATCCGGCTGTCAACTCATGAGCTGGCAGCAGATCACCGCCTTTGCTTTTTTATAAATAGTTGGACTTCATGGGGAAGTTACCGTCTCTGAAGGCTGGCCGATCAGGCTGCGGCGGAACATTGATGATTTCTGTTTATTTCGTATTACGTTGTCGTCTGTAGTTTGGAAGATGTGGGGTTGTGTTGGATTTTGATGAACCTATTCTCGCTCGCGGATGAATGAGAGATTGATGTGGTGAACATAGGATATAAGATTTCTTCGGCTAATTGTCTTAATCTGTTTGATTGGTTTTGACCCTTTGTGCATCGGTATTAAATTGGAACTTGTTTGGGTGCAGTCGGGAGGCGTGAGTTAGAATTTATGCAAGATTCCGTGACACGCCCCTTGCTTCGATTTTTGTGAATAGTTTTTCTTTTGTGAAGTCCATGCTTTTCCTGGCTTGCAGTCCCTATTTCAGGGAAGGACTTGGTGATGATTCGTTCTCACGGGTGGAATCACGATGACTTTTCCTATCAATATGGGGTTACGTTGTTTTATCTGATTCTTGATTTCGCTAACTGATGATATAGGACGATATATGACTGAGATGTTGGATTTTGCTCTCATCTGTGCGTGTTTGGATCATAATTTGATGAATATTAATCCTGCTTTGATCCATGGCGAAAGAATTGGATTTTGAACTATCGTTTATCTCATTTCAGAGCATTGGAGCCTTGAAACATTTTGGCTATATCTGATTGTTGACGAAGTTCTGTTTTCCGTGGGTGACCGGAAGATTGTACTGGTGAAGTACCAAAGATAACATATCTTCATTGAAGCGTTAGTCTATTTTAATTGCTTTTGGCTGATAGATAGATGAGTGAATTGTAAATTTGTATCATTAGTGCTATTTTTTCAAAAGCTGTGTAAAGATATGCATGTGTTCAAACATGAACAATTTTATGAGCAATTTGGTGTTCTTGTGTCCACATGTGTGACGCTATTTCGAACACTCTCCAATTTGGTTGCGGCTTTGTGAGCATTCCATGAGCAATTTTGTGATTATTCTTTTCGTCTTCTTTTGTGGATTATTTGGATTTAGTTATGCTCTTCCCTCTAATTTTGCTAGGCTGTCTAGGTTTGGCATTTAGGCCTCCGATTGGCGGCATATTCTGGTGCTGTGGTTTGATCGGTGGTTCAATGGAGTAATGAAGTGTTTGGGTTAAAATAATAGATTATGTACTTTCTGGATCACTCATTCGACAGTTTATGGTGGCAATTTATGTTCTCAGGGCAAGAATGGAAGCATTTGTCCTGGTGTTCTTTCTTTGGACTCATAACGACCGACACAACTGTTGCCTGGTTTTTAACTTAATTTTTTTCAAACTGAGTATAATTTTTTCAATTATATGCTCAAGAGGAAATGAAAAGTTATTCCCTAATTTGATTGCAGCGACTTAGCAATTTTGGAAATGATGTGTCTGCACTATATTGGAGTAGTACTATGGGGTTGAGAAAATATGAGGTCAGACTGCGGACAATGAAGCTTAACACAAGGATTATGTTTTCCTGTGTTTTTTGATGACTTGGGCGGAAAGAGTATGGCTTTCTCTTTTGCTGCATTTTTTTGGGTGAAAGAATGTGATTTCACTGAAGGATTCTCTGAAGGGTCATTCATTCCATTCCCTATTCCTATGAGATTTCGTGCTTTTTGATATTAAATTTCCTTTGTTCTTATTTTACTTCTGTTATGTGTTTAAGCTAGTTGCTGCTTGTTAACAACATATCCGGATAAGCTGCCGTTCTAGAAGGAGAAGGACGTTAAAATCAGTTGATCTTCTTTACATGCGTGGCTGCCGTACTAAGAAATTAAGGAAGTTATAACCAGTTGATTTTCTCTATATGCATCATCAGAAAATCTCATAATTTGATTTTTTTTTTTGGGGGCCTGACTCAATTTGATTTCACAAACAAGTTCTCCGTGTATTATTTAAATTCTACGTGTTTCCTATAGAATTTACTTATAATTTTCTGATTGTTTTAATTCTCGGGAAAAAAAGAAAGTATATCTAAAATATTCTTTAAACGGCGTATTTTTATATCCGAAAGGGAAAAGTGGTACACTTATTTGATTTTTTGGAAGCGTAAAACTTGACTTGCTGAAATCTTAAAACTTTCTAATTAGTTTGCAGAAAATTAACTTGCATTTCATACTCACCTTAAACTAACTCGTAAAAGTGAAAATGATAAGAGCATTGCTTTAAATTGTTGTGTCTCATCCTGGTCTTTAATTTGTGGTTTATTTTTTCCCCTGACATAGGTAGAGAGAGCATGGCTTTCCATTCGCTGGGTTCATTAGAGGAAGTGGTTCCACTTAGAAGTGTCATTCACACCCGAACGACTACTTTTTGATTTTGATTTTTCTAAAGCAGTTCTAGTGTGTTTGTTTGACTTCTAATATCTAACTGTTCACTTTGCGTCTTATTTTGTTGCAGCTAGTTAACAATGTGTCTAGATAAGCTGTCCTAAAGTTTTGCAGAAAGTCTGGTTGCATTTTCTTGGCTTATGCCTTCTCTTCTGTATGCTTTTTGATACTATTCCGTCTTTCCTAGTGTTGTGTCCGGTATGTATGGCCTTTAATTGAAGCTTTCTGTCTTAGGTGAAAAGAGCGTGGTTTTTCCTTCCGTGGATTCGTTTGGTGAAAGAAAGTAATTATGCTTAGAAGGGTTATTCTTTCCAGAATAGTTCCGTTTAGATTAAGTTTGATTTCCCCCCTAATTTAATTTAAATTGTTTTGGTTTGGCTTCTGATATTTTGGTGATTAATTGGGGGCCTATTTTGTTGCAGCTAGTTAACAATATGTCTCGATAAATTTCCTGATTTTCACCCAAACTTGGTGACAATGTCCTCCTCGCGCTCACAGTGTTTCATCCAAATTGCATGGCCCTTAATTGTTTTGGTATGACTTTTGATATCTTGGTGTTTGATTGTAGGCTTATTTTGTTGCAGCTTGCTAGCAATGCGTCTTGATAAGTCGCCTATAGTTTAACTAAAAACTTGGTTACTTTCTGTTTGTGCATTTTCTTCTCTACGCATTTGGAAATGATTTTGTGTTCCATAGTATCTCATCCAGAATATATGGCGTTGATATGTGTTCTTTGAGTTAGGTGAAAGGAGCGTGGCTTTCTCTTTTGGTTGCTTTCTTTTTGGTGAAAGAATGTGATTCCAATAAAGGGTTACTCATTCCCCAACTTCACCTTTTAGATTGTCTTTTTCCCTCATTCAAGTTCATGTGTTGTTCTTCTTCTTTTGATGTGTAGGTGTTTAATTGGAGATTTGTGTGCAGCTGGTTTACAATGAGTCTTGATGAGTTGCCTAGTTTGTCACGAAAAAATTGGTTACATCTCGCTACTTGTGCCTTTTATCCTGTACGCTTTCGGATGTGATTATACATTATCTATATTGTATCCCGTCCATGTCTTTAATTTGAGTTTGTTTTTGACATCGGTAAAAATAGCATCCCTTACCGATGGTTTCATTTGGTTCAGAGGAAGTGATTCCAATTAGAAGTTTCATTCACTCGCTAATGGCTTCTTATTTTGATTTTTTTTTTTAAATGCTCAATGTCCAATTGTTTTTGTTTGACTTTTGGAATATTGCTGTTTAATTGTGGCTTTTGTGTCATTCCTGTTTATGCCTTTTCTTTTATACGCATCTTGATACTATTGTTTCTTTTGTAATGTTTCATTTTGAGCTTCTTTTTACCTTGAAGAAAAATTCTAATCTTTTGTTTGAATTTTAATGTATTATTTAATTGTAGGCTTTTTTTCCTCGGTTGGTTAAAGTGTTCCAATAAGGTTCCCTTGAGTTTCATAAAAAAACTATTACATCTTCCTGTTTATGCTTTTCCTCTTCCTTTTATATTTTGAGCGCTGATTTTTCTCCCTAATCTCAACTTGAATCGTCTGAGTTTGGCTTTTGATATTTAGGTGATTAATTGGAGGTTCATTTTGTTGCCGCTGATTACTGTGTCCCGATAAGTTGGCTAGAGTTTCACAAACAATTTGGTTACACGTTCTTTGCTTGTGTCTTTTCTTCTGTACTCTTTTGGAATTGTTTCTGTTCCCCCCCCCCCCTTCATAGTGTGTATGGCCTTCAATTGTAGTGTTGTATGACTTTGGTCAAAGGGAGATTGACATGGTGAATAACATAGGATATTTGATTTGATTCCCTTGCTGAATTGCCTTAATCTGTTTAGTAGGTTTTGGCCATTATCTTGTTTGGGTGCCGCTGGGTTGCAGTCAGAGGCGTGTCAGATTGAAGCTGGGTTAAAGATAGTGGTGTTTACTATATACCATGTCGTAGAATTTATGCAAGATTGTGTGATATCTCTCTTATCGTGATATGTATGAGTAGTCTTTTTTGTTTGTAGAAGAATTTATGCTGTTCGAGCATCAAAGTTTCTCATTGTACCTGTATATGGCTTGCAATTGGTATTGCGGTGAGGTAGCTAGTGATTACTGATGTTATACAACATTCTGTGGCGGATGTTTTGTTTTGCCATATTGGGATGATGATCTTGAAGATGCCTACGACTCAGCATTTTTTCCTAACTCCGATTCTTTGAACCTCAATCTAGCTTAAAGGGTTATTCATTTTGGAACAGTTCCGTTTAGAGTGAGCTTTGATTTTTCCCCTACTTTCATTTTAAATTGTTTCGTTTTCTGACTTTTGTTATTCTGGCCATTAATTGAGGCTCATTTTGTTGCAGCTGGTTAACAGTGTTTCTCTAAAGTTGCCTCATTCTCTCAAAACTTTGGTGATGTCATCCTGCTGATGCCTTTTCTTCTATATATCTTTGGAAATGATTGTGTTTCATAGAGTTTCACCAAAACATGTGGTCTTCTTCCTACTTGTGCCTTTTCTTCTGTACTCTTACGGAAATGATTTTGTGTTCCTTAGGGTCTCATCTAGAATCGATGGCCTTGATAGTGTTTTTTTTTTGTTTTTTTGGGGACTTTGGAAGAGCATGGCTTTGAGAACTGCATGGCCTTCTCTTTGGCTGCGTTCTTTTTGGTGGAAAAATGTGATTCCAGTGAATCTCTTTGGCTGCGTTCTTTTTGGTGAAAGAATGTGATTCCAGTGAAGGTTCATTCATTCTACGACTTCTCCTATTAGATTTTGTGCTTCTTCTTCTTGTTTTTTTTTTTTTTTTCCATTTGTTTTCAAATTTGATTTGTCCGTGTTGAAGTTCTGATGTGTAGGTATTTATCTGGAAATGGTTTTTGTTGCTGCTGGTTTCCTCCGTGTCTGGATAAGTTGCCTGGTGTGTCGCAAAAAATTTGGTTGCATCTTCCTGCTTATGGTTTTTTATTCTGTCCAGTTTTGGATATGTTTATATATATTTTGGTGTCTCATCATCTTGGTCTTTCATTTGATTTCTGTTGTTGACCGTAGGCAAAAATAGCGTCTCTTTCCTATTGCTGGGTTTGGAGGAATTGACTGCACAGAGAAGTTTCATTCCCAACCCAACGACCCCTCCTCTATTTTTATTTTTTTAAACTAAAAAAAGTTCAGTTATTTTTGTTTGTGTTTCAGCATCTGACTGTTTAATTTGTGGCTTATTTTGCTGCAGCAGTTGAAACAGTGGGTTTTGTTAAGTTGCCTTGAGGTTTTGCAGAAAAGTTGGTCACATCTTCTTGCTTTGCCTTCTTTTCTGGACATTTTTGTCTGTTTTTCGTAGTTTTTCATTTATTTATTATGGCCTTAATTGGTGCCTTTTGACTTAGGTGAAAACAGCGTGGCTTTTTTTTTTTCCCTGGGTCCGGGGTCGATCAAAGTAATTCCATTCAGAAGGGTTATTGATTTTAGAATAGTTCCTTTTATATTGAGCTTTGATTTTGTCCTTGATTTTTCAATTTCAATTGTTTTTGTTTTCATCACGTTCTTTAATTTGTAGGTTTTTCTTTCTGACATAGGTGAAGAGAGCTTCATTGTCCATTCACTGGGAACATTTGGTTTAGCGGAAGTAATTCCATTTAGAAGTTAACAACGAGTCTAGATAAGTTGCCTTGAAGTTTCTCAAAAATCTAATTACATCTTCCAGGTTATACCTTTTCTTGTACACACTTCTTGCGGGGTATTTCTACCATTATGTATGACCGTTAATTAAAAGCTTTTTGACTTAGTTGAAGTGAGTGTGGTCTTTAAGATTTCTTTAGAGATATTTGTGAAGGAGTTTATGCAAGATTCGGTGGTATTTGTGAGTTATGAACTGTTTCTCTATTTGTGAAGTTCATGTTCCGAGCATCAATGACTCTTATTGAATCTTTTCATGGCTTGCTATTACAGAGAAGGAGCATGATTTATCACGATGACGTTTCCTATCAACATAGGGTTTTGTTGCAGCTTGTCCGCAGACTGCAACTTCTTAACCAGCAGTCAATCATTCTTACATTCGAGTACTTTTGAGGTGCTTTTATTGGAAGCTTGAATTGGGCCTGCTGGTTAAGAAGTTGTAGTAAGTTGCCTAGTGAATCCAGTATGTATGGCTTTTAATTTAAGCTTTTTGACTTTGGTGAAAAAAGCGTGGCTTTTTCTTCCGTGGGTTGGTTTGGGTGAAAGAAGGTAATCATGCTTAGAAGCTCATTCCAGAACGGTTCCTTTTAGATTAAGTTTGATTTTTCCCCTAATTTTGGTTTGACTTGTGATATTTTGGTGATTAATTGGAGGCCTATTTTGTTGCAGCTAGTTAGCACTTGGTCTCGATGAATATCCTGATTTTCGCAGAAGTTTGTGTGGTCCTTAATTGGACATTCTTGACTTGGGGGAGAAGAGCACGACTTTTCCTTCCCTGGTTCATGTGGGTGAAAAATAGTGATTACAGTTTTATTCATTCCCCTTGGCTCTATTGGAACATATGTGTATGTGCTTTCCACTTTCAATTGTTTGGGTCTGACTTTTTATGTGTCTCCGTTTAATTGGGGGTTTATTTTGCTGCAGCTGGTTAACAATGTGTCTCGATAAGTTGGCTTACTTCCCACAAATTTGATGACATCGTCCTGCTTGTGCTGTATTTCTTCTATAAACTTTTGGAAATGATTTTGTGCTTCATAAATCGTTTGGCCTTAAATTGGACTTTCTTGAATTTTTTTTTAAAAGTATAATTGTTTTGGTATGACTTTTGTTATCTTGGTGCCTAATTGTAGGCTGATATTGTTGCAGCTTACATTGGGTCTTGATGAGTCGCCTAGAGTTTAACTGAAAACTTGGTTACTTCTTCATGTTTGTGCGCTTTCTTTTTTCCACATTTGGAAATGATTTCGTGTTCCATAGTGTCTCATATGTGTTCTTTGACTTAGGTGAAAGGTGCGTGGCTTTCTCTTTGGTTGCATTCTTTTTTGGTGGAAGAATGTCGTCCTAATGAAGGGTTATTCATTCCTGTTCTTCTCCTTTTAATTTGAGCTTTTTCCCCATGTATTTGACATAAGGGTTTTCATTCCTGAAATTATCCGCTTTAGATTTTGTGTGTGTGTGTGTGTGTTTTTTTTTTTTTTGGGGGTCCTTTCAAGTTCATGTGTCCTTCTTTTCGATGTGTAGGTGTTTAAATGGAGCTTTGTGTTGTTGCAGCTGGTTTACAAATGTGTCTATCTTGATTTGGTTACACCTTGCTGGTTGTGGCTTTTATCCTGTACGCTTTCATTTGGGTGAACGGAAGTGATTCCACTTGGATGGGTTATTCACTCCCCAACTCTTTCTTTTAGATCTTGAGCTTTGATTTTTCCCCTAACTTCAATTTGAAGTGTTTGCTTTTGATATTCAGGTGACCAATTGGGGATTCAATTTGTTGCATTTGGTTAATGTCTTGATAAATTGGCTAGGGTTTCACAATCAATTTGGTTACATGTTCCTTCTTATGCCTTTTCTTCTCTACTCTTTTTAGAATTGTTTCTATTTTTCATAGTTTGTCATCCAGGATTATGGCCTTGAAGTTTTTTTCATAGTTTGTCATCCTAGAACTTCCAGCAAAACAGAAATGGAACAGCGCTTTTCCCTCAATTTTAGTCATGATTTGGCCATTGAAAAAGCATCAAATTAAAGCCTAAACATACCTTAAGGAGTCTTGGATTAAAGCTTGATGATTAGCCTTGGATTGGAAGTGGTTTGAAGGGTATTTGGAAGCCAAGAAATAGTTGTACAGAATCTCCCCTCTTTTGTCAATTTTTGTCCGAATTTTGAGTGAATTATGGGGGTATTTATAGACCTCATTTGCTGTCCAAAAACCTACCCTTGGGCAGCTATTTCTGCCCCAAAATTAAGTGCATAAGTCAGTCAAAATGAGGGGGCAAGAAAAAATAGGGATTCATCATGAAAAGAAATGGAATTTTTGAAGCTCTTAGCTATTTTTCCTAATAGGGGACAAGAATTTGGGTATTATGTGAGCAAATGAATTTTTAAATTATCCTAATCAATTCCATTACTTCCTAACCAATTTTTCCCATTTAGTTCCCTTCTAACTAAGCCCAAAACCGTGCTCTCCAGCCCAAGAAACATCTGGAGCAAGTGGGTGGAAAAATCTCAACTATTGGATCAACTCTCTTGAAATTAAGTCAAAGCATGTGTGGCTGAGATTGGCCCCTCATTTTGGCCGACTTATGCACTTAATTTGGGCAGAAATAGGTGTCCAAGGGCAGGTTTTTGGGCAGCAAATGAGGTCTATAAATACCCCCATAATTCACTCAAAATTCGGACAAAAATTGCCAAAAGTGGGGAGATTCTGCACAACTATTTTCTTGGTTTTGAAATACCCTTCAAACCACTTCCAATCCAAGGCTAATCATCAAGCTTTAATCCAAGACTCCTTAAGGTATGTTTAGATTTTAATTTGATGCTTTTTTAATGGCCAAATCATGACTAAAATTGAGAGAGAAGTGCTGTTCCATTTCTGTTTTGCTGGAAGTTCTAGGAGAGGATAGTAATTTGAGTTATGAGCTTGTGTATTATGGAAAGGAAACCTCTTAGGGTGCAAGAACATTGTTTCGGCCAAATCAAGAACTCAAGGATGGGATTTGATTCCATGTGTTTTAATGGTTCCAATGGATTTGAAATGTGATTTTGTATAGGTTTGTGCTATGAAAGTATGTTTTACTTCACTGGAATCAAATGTGGAAATTTAGGAACCTAAGGGGAGGTGTTCGGCCATTTAGAATTCATGGACTTAGGATTGGATCTTGATGGTTTTTAATGCTTCCAAATTCAATTTCTCCATATATCTCTATACAAAAACACCCAAGGGACTCTGTTTCATAGTGTCTTATCCAAATTTTATGGCTTTCAGTTCGACTTGTTGGCTTTTTTAAGTGTTCGATTTTTAATTGTTCTGGTTTGACTTTTAATATCTTGGTCTTTAACTGGAGCCTTATTTTGTTCCGGCTTGCGTTCCGAGGGTCTCACAAAAAATTTGGCTACATCTCGCTGCTTGTGCTTTTCCTTCTTTACTCTTACGGAAATGATTTTATGTTCCTCAATGTCTCATCCAGAATTTATGCCTTGATAGGTGTTTTTTCTCTCCTTGGAAGAGCATGGCTTTCGCTTTGGCTGCTTTCTTTTTGGTGAAAGAATGTGATTCCAGTGAATTATTCATTCTGCAACTTCTACTTTTAGATTTTGTGCTTCTTCATCATTTTTATTTTATTTTTTAAAATTTCATTTGTTCTTGTTCAACATCTGATATGTAGGTATTTATGTGGAGATTTCTTTTGATGCGGCTGGTTCGAGCTGTGACTTGATGAGTTGCATGTGTCACAAAAAAATTTGGTTATTCTGTCCACTCATGGATATATGTTTATATTTATACATATTTTGGTGTCTCATCATCTTGGTCATTGATTTGATTTTTGTTGTGACATAGGTGAAAATGGCATCCCTTTCCTATCGCTGGGTTTAGAGGAATTGATTCCATTGAGAAGTTTCATTCACTCCCTAAGGACTCCCTCCCCCCCCCCCCCAAAAAAAAAAAAAAGTTAAATTTTTTTTTAATTGTCTTTCGGGATCTGTCTGTTTAATTTGTTCCTTATTATGATGGAGCAGGTTAACAGTGGGTTTCGTTAAGTTGCCTTAAAGTTATGCAAAGAACTTGGTTACTTCGTCTTGCTTCTGCCTTCCCTTCTAAACTTTTTTTAAATTATCCCGTATCTCTCAATTTTTGTATGTGTATGGCCTTAATTGGTGCCTTTTGCCTCAGGTGAAAACAACGTCCTTGGGTTCGTTTGGGTGGAAGAAATTAATTCCACTTAGAAGGGTTATTCATTCTGGAAGCAGTTCCTTTATATTGAGCTTTGATTTTGTCCTTAATTTTTCAATTTCAATTGTTTTTGTTTGCCATAGTTGAGAAGAGCATTCATCATCGTCTTTAATTTGGAGGTTTTTTTTTTGACGTAGGTGAAAAGAGCATCACTTTCCACTTGGGTTCATTTGGTTTATAGGGGAAGTGATGATTCCGCTTGTCATTCACGCTTGAGTGACTCCTTTTTCATTTTGATCTTTTGAAGGAAAGATTTTGTTTGACTTCTGATATCTGTTTAATTTGTGGCCTATGTTGCAGCAAGTTAATAATGGGTCTAGATGGCTGCCTTGGAGTTTCTCAAACAATCTGGTTACATCCTGTCGTTGGGGGTTCACTCACTCGAGTGACTCCTCTTTAGTTTTGATCGTTTTAAGACAGTTTTTGTTTGACTTTTGATATCTGTCTAATTTGTGGCTTATGTTTCTGCAAGTTAATAAATAAGCTGCCTTGGAAGTTTCGCAAATGATCTGGTTACATCTTCTTGTTGGGTTCATTTGGTTTACAGGAAGTGATTCCACTTAGAAGTGTCATTCACTGATTCCAGGTGGAAGTGTCATTCACTCGAGTGAATCCTTTTTAGTTTTGATATTTTTAAAAGATAGTTTGTTTCACTTTCAATATCTGTTTAATTTGTGGCTTATCTTGCAGCAAGATAACAATGGGTCTAGATAAGTTGCCTTGAAGTTTTGCAAATAATGTGGTTACATCGTCCAGCTCATGCCTTTTTCTTGTACACACTTGATGGTACTACTATTCCGTCTTGCGGAGTGTGTCATCCATGATGTATGGCGTTTTGTTGAAGCTTTTTGGCTTAGGTGGAAAGAGTGTGGCTTTCCTTTGTGGGTTCGTTTGGGTGGAAAAGTAATTATGCGTGAAAGGGTGTTATCCTTTCTGGCTACCAGCATTTTGAACCCGTGTTCAAGCAATTCAGTGCCGAGCAATGAACCACAGTACCAAAAGTCAGCTGGTTGGGTTTGATTTTCCCCTTGCTCTCAATTTAGATTGCTTCATTTTGACCTCCGTGACTTTGGTCATCAATTGAGGTTTTTGTTGCAGCTGGTTAACAATGCGCCTCTAGGGTTGCCTGATTTTCGCAAAAATATGATGTCATCTTGCTTCTGCTTTTCCTTGTATACTTCCTCCGTCCGTTATTATAAAATCTAATTTTTTAAATGGATCTGTTTCCTTTTATAAGATTGTCTTTGAGTTTGTCTGAGTATTTAATGCATTAATACTTATTTTATCTCTAATTTAATACATTCTCTTTTTTATTTGTTTTATTATTATTCTCTCATATTTACTCATTTATATGTAGCGGTATATTTGAAAAAAAATAGTATTTGTTACATATTAATTGTTTTTAACTAATTTTAACTATTTTTATAAATCATGTAATTTAGTTAAAATTCTATAATAAGGTACGGAATAGTATACATTTTGGAAATGAATGTGTTTCATGGCGTCTCATCCAAATTGTATGGCCATCGGTTGGAATGTTGGGCCTTTTTGACATAGGTAGGGCGTGGCTTTTCGTTCTTTAAGCGGAGCGCGGCTGTTCTTTTTCCTGGGTACCCGTGGGTGAAGGGAAGGAATTGTACTTGGGGGTTTATTTATTGCTGCTGGTTGACGATCTGTTCCTGGTTTTCACTAAAATTTGGTGACGCTGTTATGTTCGTATTTTCACTTTGTAGTTTTGGAGATGACTCTTTGTTTCTTAGGGTCTCATCCAAAATGTATGGACTCTTTGCTGTGTTTTGTCAATGTTCAGTGTGTAATTGTTTTGTTTTGATTTTTGATATCTTGGTTTATAAAGTTTTGGAACGTTAAGATAATGATTATTGGCGGTTAGTGAAATCAAATTAAAGAAAGAGGAAATAATTAAGAAGCTTATTAATGTACATTTATGAATGACAATTTAAGAAGTTAGTTGAGAATCTTCGATAAATTAATAATAGTTAGTGACCTTTGGATAAAAATAATTATTGGCAGCTAAGAAAATCTAATTCTAGGAGAAGAAAATAAATAAATACTCATTTATTAAAAAACCATTAAATTAAGTAACACATATATTACAGTTGTATTTACTGAAAAAAAGGCTTACAGCTGTGAACCTTGGTTTATAAGCTGGCAATAAACAACCCGTTTACTGCTTGGTTACAGCTGTGGTGAGCTTTTATTCCTCTATGCATGCAGGGTCTAGCTGTGATCAGATCTTATAAATAGTTGGGTAGCGGTCCTGAATGCAGCGACGCTAGAACGATTTCCGTTTTTCTTTTGTTACTTGGGTGGAAAGCGGATTTCGGAGAGACTTTTCGTCCCTGGTGAATGAGAATAAGATTGACGTGTTGAGAATAAGATTGAAGATTTTTTTGGATAATAACCGGTTTAATTGGCCTTGATCCTTTGTGGATTCGTTTTGGGGCGTTTAATCGGCACAGAGACGTGGTTGGCTTAGGATTGATGCGAGATTCGGTGATATGTCTCTCTTGCCTGGATATTTGTGAGTGACTGAGTCTATGCAAGATTCGGTGATATTTGTGAATCGTGAAAGGTTTTTCTGTTTGTGATTTGCCTGATGAGTGGCGAAACCACGATGACGTTTCTATCTGTATGGGTTTTGCTGTAGCCTGTCTGCAGACTGCAACTTCTTAACCAGCAGTCAATAATTTTCACATTCCAGTACTCTTGAGGCGCTTCTATTGGAAGCTTGAGTTGGCATTGCCGGTTACTGCTGGTTAGGAAGTTTCAGTAAGCTGCCTGACGAATCCTAAGTTGTTGCGAAAGGGTTTTTTAAAAAAAAAAAACTGGAAAATCAATATGGTCGGCTAAAAAATACTGGAAAATCAATATGGTCGGTTATTTTCTGTATTTACGTGATGAATGGCGAAATCATGTGACGTTTCTATGAGTACGGGGTTTTGCTGCTTATCTGCAGGCTGCAACTTCTTAACTAGCGGTCAATGATTCTTACATTCCAGTACTTTTGAGGTACTTCTATTGGAAGCTTGAATTGGCGGTGCTGGTTAAGAAGCTTCAGTAAGCCGCGGCCAGTGTTGTTGCAAAGATGTTTTTATAGTGGAAAAGGGTGTAAAGAAACAAGAAGGAAAATCAATATGGTCGGCTATTTCCTGACTTATCTGATGAATGGGATTTAGCTAGTTAACAATTTGTTCTAAGTTGCCTGGGTTTAACAATTTGGGTGACATGGTCCTGCTTATGTTTTTTTCTTCTATATACTTTTGGAAATTCATAAACCTCATCCAAATTGTACGGCATTTATAATTGGACTTTCTTGACTTAGGTGAGCAGAATACGGCTTTTCTTTCCTGGTTTCATTTCGGAAGGAAAAAAAAGTGACTCCAGTTTCATTAATCCCCTAAGGCTCCTTTGAGTGGTGTAATTTTCATTTTTTTGGTCCATTTCAGTGTTTTAAGGTTGACGTTTGAAATCTCGGCGTTAATTGGTGGCATATACTGTTGCAGCCTGTTATTGTGTCTTGACGAGTTGCCCTCAAGTTTGACAGATCATTGGGTTGCACCTTGCTATTTATGCCTTTTCTTCTATACCCTTTTTGAAATGGTTCTGTGTTCTATTGTGTGTCATCCGCATTACATGGCCTTTAGTTGGCGTGTATTCTTTCCTTAACAGCTGCTTTTGAATTGAGCTTCTTCTTTTTTCCCTTAAAACAAAATTATTATAGTTTTTGTTTGCCTTTTGATATCTTGGTGTTTAACTGGAGACATATTTTCTTGCAGCTTGTTTTCAATGTGCATGTGCGTTCTATTCTGCACACTTCTGGATATTATTATATGCTTTCCATGTCATATAGAGTTTCATCCTGGTCAATTATTACTGGCAAAATTATAATGAAAAAGGAGGGAAGATAGACTTGAAGAATTTTTCTTTCTAAAATTCCCCCCTTGTTTAGTAAATTCTATTTAAAATATTGTTAACTTTTGACCCGTTTTTTACTTCTGTTAACTTCGGGTCTTATTTTGTCGCAGCTAGTTAACAATGGGTTTGGATAAGATGCCCTAAAGTTTCGCCAAAAATCTATCTACATCTTGGCTTATATCTTTTCTTCTACACTCTTTTTGATACTATTCTGTCTTTCGTGGGGTTGCATCCAGTACGTATGCCTTTATTTTAAGGTTTTTTTCCTCTCTGGTTGCGTTCTTTTTAGCTAAAGAATGTGATCCCAATGAAGAGTTATTCATTCCCCTGCTTCTCCTTTTATATTCCTCGCTCTTTTTTTCTTTTTTTAAGATCTCCTTTGTTCTTGTTCAAATATTGTTGTGCAGGGATTTAATTGAAGATTTGTCTTACTGCAGCTTGTTTACACTGTCGTGATAAGTTGCCCTGTGCATCACAAAAAATTTGGTTGCATTTTCTGCTTGCTCCTTTTATTTTGTTGTACACCTTCGGATATGATCATGTAGTGTGCGGATGTGTCTGTTTTGATGAGCTGCCTAGTTTGCCACCAGAAAATTGGTCATATCTTGCAGCCTGTGCCTTTTATCCTGTACGCTTTCTTTTGGGTGAACGGAAGTGATTCCACTTGGATGGGTTATTCATTCCCCAACTCTTACTTTTAGAACTTGAGCTTTGATTTTTCATGTAATTTCAATTTGAATCATATGAGTCTGGCTTTTGCTATTTAGGTGACTAATTGGAGGTTTATTTTGTTGCAGCTGGTTAGCTATGTGTCTCGATAAGTTGGCTAGAGTTTCACAAACAATTTGGTTACATGTTCCTCCTTATGCCTTTTCTTATGTACTCTTTTGGAATTGTTTTTGTTTTCATAGTGTGTCCTCCAGGATGTATGGCCTTCAATTGAAGTGTTTTTTGACTTGCTTGGAAGGAGCATTTCTTTTCTTCTGCATGGTTCTTTTGGTTGAAAGGAAGTGATAGCAGTGACTAGATCGTTTACTCCCCAACAATCCCTTTTAGATTTGGAGCTTTTTTCTTTTCACTTAAAGATTTCAATGGCTTTGGTTTAACCTTTTTTATCTTTGCGTTTAATTGAAGGCTTATTTCTTGCATGAGTTAGCTAGTGTGTAGGAGATTGACGCGGTGAACAACATAGGATATTTGATTTGATTCCCTTGCTGAATCACCTTTATCTTTTTAATAGGTTTCGGCCATTGTCTTGTTCGGGTGCAGCTGGGTTGTAGTCTAGAGGTGTGTTAGATTGAAGCTGGGTTAAAGATAGTGGTGTTTACTATATACCATGTCGTAGAAGTGATATGTACGAGTAGTCTTTTATTTGTAGAAGAGTTTATGCTGTTTGAGCATCAGGGTTTCTCACTGTACCTGTATGTGGCTTGCAATTGGTTATTGTAGAGAGGTAGCAAGTGATTACTGATGTTATACAGCATTTTATGGCGGATGTTTGGTTTTGCCATATTTGGATGGTGGTCTTAAAATATCCCTACCACCCAGTATTCCTTCCTAACTCCGGTTCTTTGAACCTCAATCTAGCTTAAAAGGGTTATTCATTTCGGAACAGCTCCGTTTAGGTTGAGCTTTGATTTTCCCCCTGCTTTCATTTTAAATTGTTTCGTTTTTTGACTCTTGTTATTCTGGTTATTAATTGAGGCTCATTTTGTTGCAGCGGCTTAACAATGTGTCTCTAAAGTTGCCTGATTTTCACGAAATTTTGGTGACGTTATCCTGCTTATGCTTTTCTTCTATGTACTTTTGGAAATCATTCCGTGTTTCATAGTGTCTCATCCAAATTGCATGGCCTTCGGTTGGACTTTGTTGGCTTTTTAAGATGTTTGATGTTTAATTGTTTTGGTTTGACTTTTAAGATCTGGTTTAACTGGAGCCTTAGTTTGCTCCAGCTTGTTAACCACGCGTCTTGACTCTTGATAAGTTTCCTAGAGTTTCACCGAAACATTTGGTTACATCTTCCTACTTTGGCTTTTTTTCTACTGTTACGGAAATGATTTTGTGTTCCTTAGTGTCTCATCTAGAATTCATGGTCTTGATCGGTGTTTTTTTGTCTTTGGAAGATCATGGGTGTGACAAGTGCATGACTTTCTCTTTGGCTGCGTTCTTTTTGGTGAAAGAATGTGATTCCAGTGAGGGTTCACCATTCAT